CTGTTGCATGTGGCTAGCAAAACATGCTAATTTCGCCATTTGGAAGCTAAACGTAATGTCCCTTTTCTTGAACACACTGGAGATACATCAGACCTACTTATACAATCGCTTTTATTCATTTCACTTTATCGTAAGTTACAAAAAGCACGTTTTCATTGAGGTAAATATTTCAAGTCGGCGATTTAGCCTGACCCTAGGCTGACTAAAAAAAATCGGCCTGCAGAGGTATAATTTTAGGCGAGGTTCGCGTCATTTAGTCGTAGTGCTAGTCGATTCGTTTTAAAAATACGAAATGACGTAATTTTAAGTTTTCTCGAACTACGACTAAAGTTTGTTTTAAGAATACCGGGGTATGAGAAATTTTACGATGAAGGTTTATCAACTTTTTTCCAAAAATTAATGTAATCATTAGACTAATATAATAAATTTTACAAAAATTAATACATATCATATAAGAATAACAGTAAGTTTAGTTTGCTTCGGCCTTTAAAGTATGCTGTTTATTATTTATTACAGCATAAACCACAGAGGTATTACCACCCCACACACAGTGAATCCTAGACTTGCCACAAGTCTCTAATTTATTGATTTTTCGTAGTATTAGCGCATTTCGGAAAGCGTCACCAGCGTCAGTTTTTGTTGAGAAACTTTTTTGATGCGAATAAGCCTTTTCGCAGCCTGAAACAGAAGTACGCGGTTAAAGGTTACTGGAGATAAACATACCCTGACAGACGCGATAGGATGTGTTTTGTTTTAGTGAATCGAAGATTATCTCAACTTTATTTGTCTTGTGAGATTCACAAATACATTAAAAACATCATTTAATATGGATGGTAGTATATCTAGTATCACTTGGGATGAACTACAATTGTGGAAAGTTCCTACATTAAAAGACTAGCGAGTTTTAGATCTGCGACGACGAGTTACTTGGAACGGTAGCGATTTTTTTTTCCGTACGAAACATTTGCATGAAACTTCACTCGGGCCATCTCGGATTGACTCGAGTGAGTACGATACGAGGAACAAGAGCAGACGATTCGCAATGTCGTGACGCTCGAGTTTTACTATTATTGCTCTTTCTATGTTTACCTACGGTAGGCCTATG